GTCTTCCACGTGTGATCCTCTACTATGAGGATCTACTCTTTTAGGATGTCCTTTGGACACTTTTGAAGGATGCTTCTCTCTTTTCCTCACACCAGTCCTTTCACCTATTCAATATGGGATTCTAGCTATTTATGTGAGAAGAGGTAATGTAACGTATCGGAAGTTATAATTTTTCTATACTGAAAATGTATTTCCGATAGGTACTTATCTCTTCTCACCCTTCCTCTCCACTGAAAACCAGTGCTTCCGTTTTCTGATAAAACCTGAGATTATAGTTTGGTAGAATCGAATAGAGGGAGTCACATGCATCAGGAGGGTATGTTGCACTCCTATTATTGGAGTATTGTTGGACGATGATTTGCATATGAGATGCAGTTGAATCTTGTTAATATGGGAGCTCAAAGCTTGTAGCATGGGAAAAAATATGCATATAGAGGGCAGCACTGAATGAGAATAACTATTTATGTGAGAGGAGCCAAGTACCTATTGGAAATGCATTTTAGTATAGGAAAATTATAATTTACTCTGGAAATAGTGTTAATCTGCTTGAGAAACTTGCATGCCATCAGCTTCGTGAAAAGTCCCACCTAAAATTCACATGAAATTGCAGTACTGCATGATGATGTGTCATGCAGCAAAACCCTTCACCACTAGGAGTGCAACATACCTCCTTACACAAATGCACCCTTTACATTCATGTGCAAAATATTTCATTCTTTTTTTGGCATGGTTGCACTTAGACAAGTATATTTTCACTGTGACTTTTTGAAGCATTTATGTCGGGGTTCAATTTGTTCCCGCTGTTTTATACCTTGTCATTCCTGCCATACCAAGTAACACATAGATGTTATTGTTTAGATATAGTTTATTCTTCATTAACACGTAACTTATAGGACTTAATGTTTAGACATTGTTTATTACTCCTTAATATGTCCACATATGATATTTCATTTAAAACTAGTTTGTTACTCCATAACTTTTACTACTTAGACTAAAATGTTTAATCGTAGTTTCTTACTCCTTAACATATACCACTTAGTATATTATGTTCTCTCATATCTTATCTCTCTTTCACGTATACACATAAACATTGTTGGTTGATCATATTTACTTATTCGTTACTATTTGAACATAGACGTTACTATTTAGTTACAGTTAGTTGCTCTTTCCCATGTAACATGTAGTCCTTGATATTTCATTCTGGTTTATTACTCCTTAATATGTCCAGATGGAAGGTGGTGTTTATATTTCTTTCATTACTTGTTCACATGTATTATTGGTAGATAATGTTTAGTCTTAATTGATTATACATTGCCATGCATACATAACTGTTAATGTTTGATTCTAGTTCCTTATTCTTTAACATTTATACTTAAACAATAATGTTTAGTTCTTGTTCTTCACTTCTTCATGTGTACGCATGGAAGATAATTCATAGTCTTGGTTAATTATTCCTTGCCATGTACACATCCTTATTAAGGTTTGGTTACAGTTGTTACTCTTTAACATGTCCACATAGAAGATATTTCTTTACATTATTCATTATTCCTTAACATTTTACTCATAGGTGTTAATGTTTTGCCATAATTCATTACTCCTTTATTTGTACCCGTGGGAGGTAATGCTTAGACATAGTTGATTCCTCCTTCTCATATCCCACTTAGAATATCATATTTGGTCCTGGTTTATTGATGCTTTTCATGTTCAAAACAGTTGATGTTTAGAAAAGATTGCTTATTCCTAACATGTATACTTAGATATTAATGATTACTTCTAGTTTATTACTTCTTCACATATAACACACAGAATATGTTGTTTAGTCATGGTTCCTTATGTCAATTAGAAGATAATGTTTCATCATAGTTCATTACTCCTTAGCATGTGCACTTAGTATTTACTACTTAGTCATAGTTAATTACTCTGTAATATGCATACTTCGACATTCATGTTTAGTTCTCTTTCACTACCTTTTAACATGTACATGGAAGAGATAATATTTTGATATTGTTTATTTTTACAAAACTTTGACAATTACTTCTTAACATGTCCACTTATGATTAGTGTTTGTCATTGTTTTTTACTGCATAATTTGTACCCATCGACGGTAGTATATAGTTTTCGTCCATACTCCTTGACAAGTCACACATAGACAATACTATTTTGTTATAGTTCATTACTTCTTAGCATTTACATGTAGTGGATGATGTTTTATCCTCATTCATTGCACTTTAATATATCCCCATTGTCTATGAAGGTTAGATCTAATTAATTACTAGTTCACACACCATTAGCAAGTAGGGTTTAGACATAATGGTTTGCTCCAAACATGTCACCTATAGTCAATGTTTAGTTGTGGTTACTTTTTCCACAACATGTACTCTTCATAGATAATGTTAAATCATTTTTCCTTGCTTTATTCCAAATACATCTAAAAGATAGTATTGTGACTGTTCTCTGAGCCTATGCCATTCGAATGTGTTCATGACCTGTCATGTTCTGTGAGCACTTCATTGCAGGCTGTCTCCACGATAGGACTTCGTCCTACCTACAGATTGGTTCCTCACCCATTGGTCTTCTGTTATTCTGCTCTCTCATTATTTCTCTGCCTTGCCACCCCCCCTTCTTTGCTAACTTCCACTATTCTGTTTCATTCCTCGACCTTAGCTGTCTATGCCTTCAGTCTGGTTTGTCCCATCTTTTTTTACTTTGCCTGTCCTCTTCTCCATCACCTCCTTCAGGTCCTTGCTCCATTTTGGGACACTCCTTAAGGGGTCAGTTTGGTGGCCCTTCACAGTCTTCTAAACCTTGTTTCTATTTCTCCATCTATAATCTCAGTCCTATCTTCCCCTTCCCAACTTTCCATCTCTTCTGATCTGCCCTCACACACTTCTCTTCCCATGGGATATGACATCCCTTTACCATTGCACGTAGGATTGTCTAGTCCACCTCCCTGTTCATATAGCTATCCCTTTATCCCACACCTGTCACCTTTGTACCTCCATGTGCCATTGTATGGAATGTACTTATCACCTTGGTCTCTTTGTCACTATTTCCCTTGGACTTCATTACATTGCCATAATTCCTCCTCTTTCACAGGATGGTTCTCCCAGGATCTGTAAATTCTTTCTATCTCAGGTTTTCAGGTGGCATTTCCTCCACCTTCTCCCTTCTCCCAATGTCATAATTTACCTTCTTCTCTGCCTCTTTCTACCCTCTTTTATTCCTTACTTATCCACTACCCCCTTCCTATTTCTTGTTTGATTGCATTATCCTTGTAGTTCTCCATGCTTTTACCTGGGTCCCTGTCAAGACACATGTCCTATTCCTACTTGCCTTTGTACACATTTCTACACCTTTGTTTCCTCCTGCTTTCTCATTACCCTATGTGCTATCCCTCCCCATTGGATGGAGCACAGGAAACCCTTGCTACTTACCATCTCCCAGCCACTGGGGTGGTGGACCCTGCAGAATCCTCACTAATTGGTACCTAAGTGCCAGAGGCTAGAACAAGGGTTCCTCATTCATCTACAGTTTGAAGTGGAACAGGGGTGTTTACGGATTGTAGTGCAGATCACCCCATTGCATATAGATTCATCACAATCTCCAAGTGGAATTTGGACACATATCACTATCTCACGGTTGTATATCTTTCTGTCTTTACCATTCTTCCTACTCATGCAATAGCCTGAACCTTCTATAGCTGATGGTGGAGTAGATGATATTATTTCATATTTAACTGTGATGTATTGCTCACACACACACACCTTACTCCCACAGTGGGCAAGGGGTGCATAGTGTCTGATGGTCGAGCTGTGTTTATATCCGTATCCATACTAATCGTGTCCAATAAACAAATATGTATACATGGTACCCTCTTCCCATGAATGGCAAGGGGTCCAAAGTGTCTGACAGTAGAGGAGCTGTGCGTGGATACTTATCACAAGTGCCCTTCTCTCACAGCTGGTTGTGACCTGTAGAGATTGATGCTTGAAGAGGTGTGCACACACACACTACAATCTGAATGAGCTTCAACCTCACTACACTTCTTGGCCATCTGGTGTCTTGTGTGCGAGTACTCGGACAGTCATGTACCTATTCCGCCCATCCTTGCAACACCATGTGAGCCTTTCATCTCTTCTAATCCTGCTCATGGGCAAAGAGTATACCCTTGGTGAGATGTTATGCAGTGTCACACCTCATGGGCTTCCTTCAGATGCTTGCTAGGTAACTTTCCCACCAGTCATTCCACCATCTCAATGTGGGATTCTAACTTTCTGTGTATGGAGTTTAGTGATTGTGTCATAAGTTAACATTTTCCTTAAATGAAAATGTATTTCCAATAGATACTCACTTCCATACATGTTCCCACCCATCCTCCACACTTTTCTGGTGCATATTTATTTGTGGCCTCATCAAAGAATGAAATATTGTTCTTCTATTGATGGAAGGTTTTGTTGCATGATATGTCATCATGCAGTAGTACAATTTCACATGATCCATGTGTATTTTAGTTGTGAGTTTTCACCAGGTTGATGGCATGCAAGTCATCAGACAGCTTAACATTATTTCAAGAGAAAAATAGTTTTCTGTGTATGGAAGTGGGTATCTATTGGAAATACATTTTCAATGATGGTAAATGTTAACTTCTGGATTTTAGTTTTCTATACATTTTCTATACCTCTAATCACAGCATAATCTTTTTTTGGGGTAATTTAATTGACAGAATTTCTGGTATTTAGGTTATTTATTTGTTTGGTATTTGTACAAAAATATTTTAACTTTTCATTAAAAAATATTCAAGTTTTCTTCTGTTTGGCTTGCATGTGCATTCTAAATGTGTCCCAGTCAAAAATCTGTATTTTAGTTTATATTTAAAAAAAAATATGTGGAAAAAATCTGTTGGCACGTTATATTTGTTTTCAGTTTTGGTCCAGAGAAAGAAAGAGCTAACATGTAATAATGATGCTATTTAGATTTTGGTGTTTCTTATATTTTTATAGGAAAAACAGATGGTTTTGAAAGATTCCAGATTAAAATTTATGAATGAAATACTTTCAGGAATAAAGGTAAATTACGAATTTGTTAAATAATTCATCTTTACAGTGTTAAGCATGTGATAGAGGTAAGGATAATTTTACAATCAAACTTTAGTTTTACTTTAAAACTTATTTTATTATTTAAAGCCCATCTGTATGTCTATAGTTTTTTTATAGATTGACCAGTGTTAAAATATGCTTTAAAATTGCTTTATTACGAAAAATTGAACATAATTCTAAGAGAATTAACTGTAAATAAATATGGAGATGCTGAATGTGCATAAAATTGAATGTTTTAGCAAAATATTTTAGTATTCCCTTGTAATTGGTCAATGAGCTTTAAACTATAACTATGTGTTAGATGAAATGCCAAAGTTTATATTACAGAATATTTGTTTAAATATAACTAAGTTGTGTTAAATGTTTAGAAAAGCTTACTGTGGGATATATTAAGACTATTCTGCAGTTTGGTACTCATATACATGCAACTGTATTTTTTAGTCTGTACTTTTTAAAGTTCACAGAATTCTTTTATTCAAGTTATGATATCATTTTGATAATTTTTTAACATTTCAAAATGCTCAAAATTCAATAGAACTAAAAATTTATTATCTTTTTACATTTCTCTTTTGTCAAGTTTTGTTTTCTATTCTCTCTGTTTTTGTAAATTCTGAGATTTCTTAGTATTTTAAGTGTTTCACAAAGAAAACTGAAATGTAAACAAATTTTCACACATTTTTTGAATGTTAGATGTCAATCATGGTTATGGAGAATGCAACTAGTTTACTCTGAATGTTTTTAGAAAAGTGACTTTGAAAGAATTCTTGATTAGTATAGGTGTTTTAATTATTAAGCTTTGGATAACAGACTTGAAAAGTTTTATTTTAAATATCAGATGAGAAAAATTACTAAGATTTGAAAACTAAATATTATCACACTTAGCTTTGTAATGAGGGCTGAAAAGCTTAGACTGATATTAGATATGATTGTTTTAAAATGTTAAGTGTGATGTTTTATGTTTATGGGATGTATATATATTTTAAAAACCACATAATATTTAAGCACTAGCGTATAGCCCATCTAAAATGACAGGGCAAGTACTACCACCCCCACCTCCATAGTAAATCCTAACTGCACATTTCATAGCTAACTGGAATAAGTAAATTTTGTGAAATCAAGCTTGGCCAACAAAGAGACAGAAAATTGCAGTTGAGGCAGTCAAACATTGGT